CCCTGCACCAATAAAACTTTATTGAATTGAAAATTACACTTGTGGTAGAGTTTTCTCAGAGGTGTCCCCAATTCACCACTTATCTCTGTATCCATATGCCTTGCAGTGTGACTGTGAAGCTCCTCTCATGGAGAGGTGGAGTCTGTTTCTCCACCTCTGAATCTGGAATGAAATTAGTGTTTCATTTGCCTTGACGAATAGCGTATGCTGAAAATGACAGTGTGCCTCAAAGGGCCTTGGTATGTTTCTGATCCTCTCTTGTAATCCTGCTTTGTAATGCATGTATACAAGTCCAGGCTAGCGGGCTGTAGGAGGAGAAAACATGTGGAGCAGAGCCCCATTACTTTAACGATGGCCAACCTAGACCAACCTACCGTTAGCAAGACCCCAAATGTGAGAACACAGCCATGGTTAGCTGAGCACTTCCAGCTGACCCACAGCTGACCACAGCCTCGTGAGGAGACCAGCAGAGACCAGAAGACTTCCCCAACGTAGTCCCCCATGCGATTTTTTAAAAAAGCATTATCTTATACCTTTTACATTTGGCATGGCTTGTCAGGCAGCAATAGCTGACTGATACAATAGTCAATGTAAACAGAACGGAGAATATTAAGAATAATCTACTGCTTCTTATTTTTGACATTTGTTCTGATATTTGAAAGGAATATTCATAATGGCTTGGTTATTCATATTTATTACAGGTAACTATACTAAAAAGTAACTACCATGGAGATTCCCTTCCAGGTAACTGGTAGAGGTTGGAAAGACATGTATGTTTTTACAGGAATAACTTGTGGGACCCTCAGCCACAAGTTTCCATTCCCAGGGCGTTACTGGGCAGGAATTCAAGCTCTTGACTGAGTCATCCTTTAATCATAGGATTGAAGAGAGTTTAGAGCATAAAAAAGGTGAAGAAATTAATGACAGTGAACAGACCAATTGTTCACTCACTCACATTATAAGTTTTATGACATTTTTAAAGGGAGGGGAATTTAAGTTTAGGGTAATGGAAGGAGCAATATTTGAGGGAGGGCTTGACATTTTCAATTAGAAACAGCAAAATCATCCAGTTGAATAATACAAAATCTGCCACTAAATTCTTCACTCCAATTAATAGAACCCTTTAAACATGGACACCAAATATCCCACACTTCAATGTGTAGATGTTCATCATCAAAAACACATTTTCCATAATAAAATATGGTGTGATAGAAAATGTTAGTTTATCATATTTCAGGTCTTCTCTGATACTGAGCCCATGTTAAGTCAATTGGTTTATGCAAATTTGTCTTTCTACAGAGTACACTGGGAGGGTGTTTTTCATAAGCAATTTTTGCCTTACTATTCTGTGCCAGGGATACTATGGCTGCTGAGCTGATAAGAGAACAGGATCCTAATGAGGATCATAAAGCCCCATGACTAGCTACAAAACAAACTCATAGGTTAAAGTCTCTATTATTAAGAAAAGCAGTTAAGGTAGTAACCTAGAACGGAATGGCAGACACAGTGAAAAACTGTGATCTCAGAATTGCCTCTACAATAAAATTCTAAAAATTGCCTCAGTTGCCAATGTATTTTATTTCATAAAACTAGTACAGTTCATCACTATATGAGGCAAATGGTAATCTCCAAAATGTTTCTGATTCAACATTGGACTAACTTTGGAAGTTACGAAGACAAAAGGAAAAACTGTTGGGTATCAGAAGGAGCAGAAAGTTCAACAAAGGAAGTAATTTAAATTTTAAATTTAAGTTCATCTCTTAAAGATGAACTTCAGAAAAATTTAAACTCCAAGATATAAATAGAGGGATGAAGTTCTGCTTTCATGATCTTATTAAAGAATCACAATTTCTGGCTGTTAGGCATTATGCCTGCAATCAAAGGGAGTAGTTGAAAAATGGCCCTTTTATGGCTTCCCCCTCTAAAATACATTTAGAGCCCACTTTATGTCTTTGTTCCTCAGGCTGGAGATGAAGGGGTTCAGCACGGGCGTCACCAGTGTGTACATCACCGAGGCTACTGCACCTGAGTTGGAGCTTTGGGGAGGAGCAGAGCTAAGGTACACTCCGAGGCTTGTACAATAAAATAAGGAGACAATTGACAGGTGTGATGCACAGGAGGAAAATGCTTTTTATTTCCCCTGAGCTGATGAGATCCCACGTATAGAGGAAACTACCTTAGAGTATGACTAAAGGATCCCAGCCAGGGGAGCACCACCCAGCCACAGTGCTGCAAAATACATCACCACGTTATGAAGAAAGGTATTAGAACATGCAAGTTGGATCATCTGATGAAGTTCACGGAAATAGTGGGGGATTTCCATCTCCATGCAGAAGGACAGCCGCAACACCATTAAGGTTTGCAACAAACAGTGCAGGACGCTCATGATCCAGGACACCAGAAGCAGTAGTGAACAGAGCCAAGGGTTCATGGTGACCATGTAGTGCAGGAGGTGACGGATGGCCACAAAGCGGTCATAAGCCATCACAGTCAGGAGGAAGTTGTCCACACCTGCAAAAAGTATGAAAAAGTCCATCTGCATGATGCAGCTTTTGTAAGT